CCTTCTAGAACACATTTGTTCTCCAGGGGAACCACTTTAATGGGCCCAGTCTACATGCAGAGGGAAGTGGTATACCAGAGTGTCAGGGATATCAGGGCATGATCAGACTATGATGGTGGAACAGTGTTACTTCACACACTGACATTGCTGCAATAAGAATATTAGATCTGGTGTGTGACCTGTGACAATCTGGGATAGGCGCACATGGAAATCATGGAGGTCAAGAAATCCTGAGTCACTTCTCAACCTAAACACCAGGGAAGGCAGATTGAGATCACCCAGAACTATAAGTTTGTGTAACTCCATTGACAATCTTGAGACAGTTTCTGGCAGTTCAGACAAGTACGTTGCTATGCAGCAGGGAGCTCAGTAGGATAGCAACAATCCCAGCTGACTCCATGAGTCCAATCTCAGAAAAATGGCCTCACAGCCAGAGACTAGAGTAGCAAGGCTCTTTTACGCAACTCACTGGCTTTTTAGTAAAGCTTTTACAGATAATACTTAAAACTAATTCTCAACTTACAACGATTCATTTAGTGATCTTTCAAAGTTACAATGGCACTTTAAAAAATGATTTATAACCATTTTTCACATTTACGACCATTGTGGCATCCCCTGGGGTCACGTGATCAAATTCAGTTACTTAGCAATTGGCATACATTTGTGATAATTACAGTGTCGTCCTCCACTCTGCCTCGGGTCCCGCATCCAGCCCATGACAAGGAGATATGCCGCTTCCAGGCCAGGCCAGCCCAGCGGGCAGATGGGCGGATGGCCAGCCCTCGGGGGAGGCATTTTCTCTCAGGCCTCCCATCCAGACGGCCCTACAGAAGCCAAAACTGCACCTGAAAAGCAGCCTTGCCTCGCCATGTTTCCCCCGCCCCTGAGGCAATCCTTCTGCTGAAAATTGCAAGCCTGGAACAGATCTTCCTTCCCCACCATCAGCCTTACCTTCTAGCCCATGGAACACACCATTCTTACGGCGGTGGCCCAGCATGCCCCCGGAGGCCCCAGGAAAGGCCAGAGCCAGGGACTGGTGCGTCCCCTCACCCGAGGCGAAGGGTGAGTGGGTGGCATGCAGGTAGAAAGGATGGTGAGAGCCAGGCCTAAAAGGCAGCCAAGCTTTGCCGTGTCCATCCAGAGGCAGCCCTTCAGCCTAGCGCCTTACTTTCATGGGCAGCTATGGTGAGCAGAGCTGGCGAGGCGCAGAGATCAGCTGAGCCACATGGTCTGGGTGAGTGAGCATAACTCTGGCCAGGGAGTAGCTGGGCAGAGACGTGACTCTAGCCACTGGCTAAGGTGGGCGAGGTGAAATAGGGTGGGTGGGATGGGCGGAGCCAGCCAATGGTGGGATTTGCCGGTTCATCGAATTGCACAGAATTTTAACAACCAGTTCACCTGAAGTGGCCCAAACTGGCTGAAGCACACCTATGCCTGTTACTAACTTAACAACTGCAGTGATTCACCAAAAAAATGTGCCAAGAAAGAATGGGGCAAAGCTCAATTAACAATTGTCTGGCTTAGCAATGGAAATTTTAGGCTCAGTTGTGGTCATAAATTAAGGATCATCTTTATTTTTCCTTTTCTACTGAAAAGTTACTTTTAATGATGTTTATGAGAGTTGACCTGAACCTTTTCCAGCTGTTTGTGATATCCCTGAATTAATGTATGCTTGTAGTGCTTAAAATCATTGAAAAGATAAAATTACTTTACATGAAACCATCTCAGTTTATTTCAGATGAATACAGAATGGGTTACCTTCTATTTCTACTTCCTCAGGTTTAGAACTGTTTGAGGAGCTTGAATGGACAACTTGTAAATGCTACTAAAACAGAAGAATGGAGAGAAATATCCTCTTCCTCCAATGTTTAAGTCCAGAAGATGTCTGATCCAAGATGTCTGATCCAAGGACTTTGATTGTTGGAAGAAGAGGAAGTTGTCTTTATAAATGCCCAATTCTGGAGTTCCAGTTTTACTTGCTCCAGAAATAGCTGTGATGTAGATAAATTTGCTTTCAAAATACTGGTATAGCACTGTTTAAGCTCCTGAAATGGGTTTATGTCTATTGAAAAAAATGATGATAGTTTTTCCCCTGAAAAATAAGACAGTATTTCATTCTATTGTGATCATCTTAAATTGGGATAAAATACATTCTCCTTGAGTTGAGCTTCTTTCTCATTGACTTCTTACATATGCACATTTTTGACAGAATGATACAAATAGTCTCAGTTTTAAGTACTAATAAGATTAGTACTGAGAGTATAGCCGGGTGCCTCCTCCACTGATATAGCAATAGCATTAGACTTATATACCGCTTCATAGGGCTTTCAGCCCTCTCTAAGCGGTTTACAGAGAGTCAGCATATTGCCCCCAACAATCNCCTCCCTCCGAAGGTACTCCACTCTCTCAGGTGGTGGCAGATGGACGCCCTTCTGAAGGGCTGCTACTTCAGGGAACCAGAGTGTCTGGTCATAACAACACGCCAGCCTCTCTGGTTGGGGTGCTCACTTACAGACTCAGATGGTCCAGGGCAGATGGTCGCAGGTGGAGCTCGCCCACAACATAAATTGGCTAGAGCTCCGGGCCGCCAGCCTAGCATTACGCCACTTCCTCAGTCGGGTCAGGGGCCGCGATGTACTGATTCTGACCGACAACATCGCTGCAAAAGCCTACATCAACCATCAGGGCGGCACGCCGTCCTTGGCCCTGATGACAGAAGCGGAAGCTCTGGGTCACTGGGCGGAGAGGCACCTAGCCTCAATACGCGTGGATCACATCTCAGGCGTGGACAATGTGACGGCGGACTGGCTGAGCAGATCCACCATTCAGAGCTCAGAGTGGCGTCTCCACCCAAGGCTATTCCAACAGCTGTCTCAGACATTCGGCTCTCCGGTGGTTGACCTGTTCACCTCCCCAGCTAACGCACAGCTTCCTCGGTACTTCACCAGGTTCCATTGCCCCAGGGCAGAAGGAACGGATGCTCTTCGGTCCCGCTGGCCGCCCGATCAGTTGTATGCCTTTCCGCCTTTTCCTCTAATTCCTCTGGTCATCAGGAAAATTCTGGAGGAGAGGGCAGAAGTGTTGCTTGTGGCTCCTCAGTGGTTGAGGAGGTCCTGGTTCACCGAACTAGTCAGCTTGTCGGTGACTCGACCCTGGCGCATACCTCAGCATCAGATCTCCCTCAGCCAGGGGGCTGTTCAACATCCGGAGCCCCAGTGGCTGCAGCTGGCCATCTAGAACTTGAGGGGGACATCCTGAGGCTAAGCAAGTTTTCTGACAAGGTCATCCATACTGTCCAGGCATCCAGGTGGCCCTCCACCATCGGAATTTACAAAGCAACTTGGTCATCTTTCTCGCAGTGGTGTCTGTCCCCCAGGTCATTGCTTCTTCCACAACCATTCCACAAGTTCTGGACTTCTTGCAGGACGGTTTGGACAAAGGGCTTGTACCCAACACACTCAGATGACAAACGGCCGCTCTGAGCACCATCCTGTCAACAGACTCTCAGTTACCACTTTCCAGATATCCGTAGGTTCGTAGTTTCCTCAAAGGGGCTACCAACCTCTGTCTGCCCACAGTCCACAGATACCCAACCTGGGACTTGTCTATCATTCTTCAGTTGCTCTCTGTTGTTCCCTTTGAGCCTCTTCGTTGGCCTGTGTCTCCTGACTCTAAAGACAGCTTTTCTCATTGCCATCACCTTAGCACACAGGATATCGGAGTTGGCCGCCCTCTCGGTTAGAGGTGACTTTTGCATCGTTCACTCCGACAGAGTCATCCTTAGACTGAACCCTGCCTTTGTGCCAAAGATCAACACTGTTTTTCATAGAGCGCAGGTGATACTTTCGGACTTTTGCCCGTGCCCCAGACATCTGAGAGAGATCGCATGGCATAAGCTGGATGTTCGCCGGGCGGTGCGTATTTATATGAAACGGACTGCTCCATTTCACAAATCAGAAGCGTTTTTCGTGTCCTTCCAACCCGCATCCATGGATGAGGGCGAATATCAAGATGGCTTATGAACAACATGCCAGGCCGGTTCCTCCTTGCATTATAGCGCATTCAACAAGGAGCGCCGCAACCTCGGCTGCTTGGGCCACTCAGGCTCCTATTGAGGAGATTTGCCGGGCCGCTACATGGTCAAGCCCATCTCCTTTCATAAATAATTACAGACTTGACATCTTCACTTCGGCTGAGGCATCGTTCGGGAGAAGAGTTTTACAGAGGGTCATAGCGAACCCCACAGCTCTAGACTGTTCTTCTTCCCTCCCTGGGATGACATAGCTTTGGCATGTCCCGTGCTTGGACACTCCAAGCAGCGTCTAGGAGAAAGGCCGTTGGCTTACCTGAATGGTCGTTCTCTAGGCACTGCGGGAGTGTCCAACCCCACCCTTGAAGTGGGGCTGCGAGGTCCTTTCATCATTGTTTGGGGGTTTGATCTTATTCGCATTTATGGACTATTTGGGACTTTCCTTCGTTTTTCGAAACTGAGCCTCTGAGGCAAGCAAGAGGCGGAGCTACAATAATCTTAAACTCAGTCCTTGGGCAGCAAGCTGAAGTTAACCCATGCTTGGACACTCCCGCAGCGCCTAGAGAACGACTATTCAGGTAAGCCAATGGTTTTTTAATGAATTTTTTGGTTGGAACCCAATTTGGTTATGGTCAGAAGCGTTCATGACCAGAGGGTCTACTGTATTGCCCCCAATATTCTTCATTTTACCAATCTCAGAAGGAAGGGAGGCTGAGTCAACTTTGAGTCCCATCAGGATCGAACTTCAGGCTTTGATCAGAGTTTGCTTGCAATACTGCATTTTAACCACTGTACCATCTGGGCAAGCATGCAATATAACTCTACAAAACAAAAAGAAAATTGAACTATTATCCATCACCAATAGTGAATATAATAAAATAAATTTTATGGAAAAAGAATACACTGTCAAATTAAAAAAATATGAATACTAATATAGTTTTATCTTCTATGGCTTGTTTTTCTTCCTCAGATTGTGGTTCATCTTTCTGAAGATTTGCTTTCTCGGGCATCAATGACTGTGGTGAATGGCCGTCCAACTCTTACTATCAATATTTCCACTGCAAGGGAACATTGGTTAGAAGGGATGCTCAGGCATGAAATAGGTATGTAATAATTATTCTGTCTGAGTTTTCCTCAACCCAAAGTACTGCAACTTTGAGAAAATGGCTAAGGGGAATAGCAACTTAATCTAATGGTTAAGGTAACAGGTTAGAAACCAAAAGACTGCATTCTAATCTATGTAATGACTACTCTCCTAACTTGAGAAAGTAAAGATAATTGAAACAGATTATTTCAAAAGGAACCTTTAATCAGGCAGGATGGAAACCATTCAAGGCAAAGCAGCATCTGAAAACCTTTAGGCCATGCAAATGGAATTAAGCTGATAATGACCCCTCCCCTTTGTCCGAATGCAGATTCTGACTAATACA